AAAAGCATGTGCGTCATTGATTTTTGAGGTGAATTGTGTTGACGATCGATGAATTTACAAACTACTGAATTATGCGTGTAACATACTTTAAAGAATGTAAACTCAATATTTAGAGTTCATTGTTTTTACTGTGCAACGCGGATGGAATGCAATGAGAGATACTTAAACATAAATGGACATAAACATATTAGGCTTTACATTTTGAGAAAACGAATTAATTGAATGGTTGATACTCACTACTTTATATATTAAAAGATCTTTGAAAAAAGACATTTTCTTCTAGTTACTTTATTTTTGACGACTGCTTCAAAATAAGGATTAAATCTTAACAATTCTGTTGGAATATATATCCCTTAATCTTCATAAAATCAAGTAAGGATAATCATGAACTTAGTTCTCAGGAATAAAAGGAGTAAACATTTTGTATTTTGGTTTTAATGTTTATTTAAATAAGAAATAATTCATTTGTTTCTAAATATCTAATACTTTAACTGCCTTGCCCCTAAATGCCCTGGTACGTTCAAGGGTGGAAAGAGTTATCTCTCCCTCTTGAAACGCTCTCACATGGACATGTGCATACAACCACTGCCAGAGAAATCCTACTCACTGCCTTCTCGCAGCGAGGGTGTTGTTTCCGAAATTCAGAGTACGAAAAGTAAATGTCCAAAGCTCCAACCAGGTTGGTGGATACACAAGTTCAACCTAGAGAAGTTGGAAAATCCTTATTCCAAATCAGTGGTGAATATGGGTTCCAGGATCCTGGAGGAACAAATGGCGTACGAACCAATTATTGGTCACCGGCTACCATGGGACTGCATCTTCTATAGTTGCACCTCTGCCTTGCGGATCAGACCTTTATGTCGAAAGCTCCATGTATGGTGCCCTAAGAAGACCACCTGCTTCGGTTTGGGCACCAGGGCAGTATCACAGCCCACGCACAAATCAATTGACTTGTGTGGCGCATATGTATTCGGTGGGCCTTTGTACCATTATTTATGAGTTCAAATAACTAATTAATAAATAGATAAAACTGCCTCCTGTAGCTATAAATGATTTGAATGATAAAAGATAAATGAACCATAATGTTTATAAAAAGAATTAATTCTAGGAAGAGATAGATAAATAAAACCGACAAGCGGATGTTGTTTGAAAGTGCTCGGGACTTTAATTGATTAAAAATATGATATGGATTGTGAAATAAGATTTAGATTCTGAAATATTTTTCATGAAACTAACTGTTTATTTTAAACCAACATGTGAAAATTTTAATAATATAATATAATGATTTAACGTCTCGGAATGGAAAATGATGGTGTAAGGGTAGTGTTTACAAAATCTGTTTTTTGGGAAATAACGTTGTGAATAGACTTTGTTGTCTCAACATAATAATGGTTGTTATCTTAAATACTTCACGGTCTCTCAAAAACCTTTATTTGTTAATGACTTCATATACAGTTTTTAGTAGTCAAATACATCCTTGACTAGATGTTAGATATATCAATAATTGAAGGTTTCAAGTTGTATGAAGATGATATTTTTCAAGACGCAAAAGTATGTGAACCATGACCGGTATAAGTGAAGATTTATTAACCTCAAAACACGACAACGACCTTAGTCGTACACCCATTTCGATTAATAATTAGAATAAAATCAGATATATGAAAAATACTTAAAACAAATATACTGCATGTTATACCAAGCCTAGTTCATGTTAACTTAATACAAAAATATTGTGTCTTTAAAAAAACATCACACTCGAATAAATTAATGTTATACCGAATTAAATATCACACTGGGAAACAAAACAAATACTACACTTAGCAACCATCACAATTGAAATAAAAGGGAAGTAATATTGAATAAAAATCATAATGAGTAAATCAATCTAATTTTGACTTTTCATCTCATCATATCAATAAAGTTTAGTTTTCATAGACTTATTAGATTGGTTTTATGTAATTCGTTTTTTATGCGAGGTTTTTTCTTATCCTTGATTTGTCTAGTTATACAATTAAATCTTCATTATTCATTGTTTCTTCTAATATTATTGTCCTTTTTTTCATTTTACTCATTTATTGTAACTCTTCATAGTTCTGACAAACAATTAAACGTAAATGAAAATTGAAGAGAATGAATTGATTTAGGTAAAACTGAGACAACCAGTAGTAGTTACGAAATAAAATTGTCTTTTACAATTAAACATTAAGAAAAATCTCGTAAAAAATAATGTACTTTCATTTATTCAACATTTTTCAATCTACATTAGTGAATTCATTTTGATAATGAGATTTTTAGTCATTTTTCAATGTAATTAATTCAAAATTAATAAATAAAATATATTTAAACTATAAAAAAATAAAGGGGTTAGAAACATCAAAATATTGTTTGTTTGTTCTTATTTTATTGTAAAATAAGAGCGTAATGTGTTGTTTTAATGAATGAATGAAGAATTAAAGCAAAAAATTATTTCGAACTGTCTGATCAATTGATTGATTGATTGGAGCTTTATTCATTTATTCTCAGATTTGATTTTCCCTTTTGACAAATCTATTAGGTTTTCAGAATAAAGAAAATAGTTAATACTTTTGGATAAATATAAGAAATAATTGGTTACTTAATGAATTTAACTTGAAAGTTTCAGTTGATTAAATGTCAACTAAAGATGTTTCTCATTTATTGACAAGGATGTATTTCGAATAGGAAAAAAATTGAGTAAATGAATAGTGAACTAGTTGAAATTATGAGTCACTTGAAGCTAGATCACCATGGAAAACCTCGAAACACTTGATGGCCGTTTCGTCCTAGTACAGGACTCCTCAGCAGTGCGCATCCATGATCCCCCCGCGATATTCGAAACCAGGACCTACCATCTGCTCACTAGTGACGGTCTCCAAGAGGTATTTGCTGCAGTTCTAGTGAGAAGCCGTTACCAGTGGAGTTCAACCAGGTCAGTTGTGAGATATCAGTTCGCTGAAGACAATGATGTACGGTCGGGTAATTTCGTGGATTGGTTGAAATTAGACATTAACACCGTTGGATGCTGCCTCAGTGGTTAAGCGATCGTGCGCGAGAAATTTCTAAAATCTCCACAAAACCTTTTCTGAAAAGAATAAATGAATAGAATTTTATAGAATACAATACTCCGTAGTTTTTTGAAACAATAAAACAAAAAATCATCTTGTATGGTAATTTGATTACATACCTTGCCTTTTCAATAATGACAAGTTGAGCTACAAAAAGTGTTTGGTTGATGGCAATTTAAGTCTCTGTTTCAACATGTAACTATTTGAGTCGCATCTAAATGGTAACAATGTAAAATCGTTTGTTAGGTGCCAGAAGCATCATAGGTCTAATAGTGTTGCAAGCCAATGAACCCAATGCAACAAATGATTTCCAATAGTCAAATAAGATCATAGGATAGACAAAAATTTTTCTTCATTGCGAAACATTTGATTAAGACTGGTCATAAGGTTGACATCAAGTCAGCATTTGTAGTGTTGTACAAAAACTTTCAATGGCGTATACTAAGGTTTATTGAAGCTTTGGCTATACGGAAACTGAAAACACCTATATGCGTTCAAAGACAATTTTTCCTTACCCTTAAAGTACTCTGGTAATACTGATTTATTATCCAGAGTGGCTATTGCATTATTTTTGTGTACTTTTTTTCTTTGTTACGGCTTACCTTTAACCTGTCTAGTCGACCTTTAAATTTTCATATAAAAATGTCGTAACAAGTATATGCGTGATCAGATTGTTCAAAATGTATTACACAAATATATCACATAAGTCTAATAAACTTCGTCTACGCATTCAGCAAAAGATAGTTGTATATTGAATGCTCATAGAAGCTAAGTGGTAAGAGAGACAATACAGACAGATTATTCTAAGTGGTATTGGATTGTAACAACTGGATGGAATAATCACGAGATTTATGCAAAATGTTTTGCACACACTAATTGTACGACCTAAAACTAACTATGGTGCTTAATAAACAAATATCAGTAGAAATCTACATTATTATAGTTTCTCGTAATAATGGTCATCTATGTAACTGTAACAAAATGTGTCTAATAAATTTCTGTAACATTTTCATTTATTGTTCATCATAAAAGTAGTTTTTATTTTATCCACTAACACTTTATTTTGAAAGATGGTTTAATAATGAACGCATTACGATTGAAATCATCAAGTATAAAGTATGGATCCTGGTAAAACAAATTCGTTTGAACTCAGTAAAGCTATTTCTCACTAAAGAGATGTAGATCAAAGTTACACACAATCACATGTACATGATAGATAGGTTGATAGATTATTAGTATGGTTAGTACCTTTGGTATAATTTAAGTAATTCGTAAGGTAAGTCATTTTAGATAATACAATTAACCAAAATTCTTAAAAATCATTTAAAGAATATGTTTTGTAATACTCTTGTTAAATTGAGGAAAATGTTATTAAAATAAACGTTATTTACTCAAAAATAGTAATCGTATTGTAATGAACAAGAACATGAGTAAGCGCAATTGAATGTATTTGAGCACGAAATTACAGAATATCTCACTAAAATTTGTGAACTATACAGTAAATAGTTAATTTGCAAAATATTAATCCATTATGTCAAACGCGATTGTTCCTTTTGCAAATCCCATTCCATCATCTCAGATTTCACTGTTCGTGTATTTTCATACCAATTTCTTTCCGTTACCGTTGTTTCCGTCTCGATCTTCTACTAAAATACATTCTATTCCCGACCATTGTTATATACTACTTATATGGATATAAGTAGTTCACACCACAGTATTTGTTGAAGTAAATATTTTTAGATCTATATTGAAAATGAAAACTAAAACGTTTAATCATTATCTTAACATTTCAAATTACTTACTGTATTTTTTATGTTCATGAATAATAAATATTTCTTTGCATTTTTTATCATTAATTTAAAAATATTAATGTAGCCATTGGCTAATTTGTATTATCATTATTTGTTTGTTTTTAAGGTGTTAAAAGAAATTAAAAAAATGCGATTCCATATATTACTAACAGCTTTGGTAATCATTTTCTCCATTTACTATACCCAAAGTAATATGATCCCAAAGTAAGTTGACTCCACTATTAAACTTTCATCATTATATAAGTACTGTCATTAAATTATATATTAGGTGTTTCTTTTTAATTTCCTATAGAATATATAAGAAACTGTACTTATCATCTCGAATATAAATTACCATCTTTTGAAATGATAAATTTTAATTAATTAATAAGAAATTCCGTTTCGTTAAATGATAGGGTTTTACTTACCAATATATATATATATATATATATATATATATATATATATATATATATATGACAGTTGAGGTGGGTTTTAATAAAGAACCATAGATTTACATCATTTCCAAAGATTGTTTTAGATATCACATATAAAGTAATTTAGATAATAATCTTAATTGTTGTCCTAACGAAACATTGATTTTAGTTGAATTACTATGGATTTATTTCAATCATAATTGTTTGATGTGCCAATCAATTTGCGGTAAGAACATTATCAGTTATAAATATAAAGGTAAATATAATTTAATTTGATAGAAATAACACATTTGAGTGAAACATAATCTGATGAATAAATTGAATTCATGCTATTTGAAAACGTCACATTAACTAGGAATAATAAGATGATTAAAAGAAAAGTTCCATAACAAACATTGAAATTGAAAATTATTTTTTGAAATAGAACAGAAGATTACATGTAGAAGAAGAAAACACAAAGTTCTAATGCCAGTTGATACTCATCTATTAGTCAATGGCTTATTCATACAATGAAGAATAAATAGTGTCATATCTATTAATAATTATATTAAATTATTATAATATCCACAAAAACAATTCTCTGATTATGGTTAACATAAGCTCACTAGCGGCGGTCTCCAAGAGGTATTTCCTGCAGTTCTAGTGAGAAATCATGACCGGCGGAGTTCAACCAGGTCTGTTGTAAGATAGAGACTCACTGAAGACAATGGTGGACGGTGGTGCAACGTCGCGGATTGGTTGAAGTTAGACATTAACACCATCGGATACTGACTCAGTGGTCTGATGGTTAAGCGCTAGTGAGCGAGACCGATATGTCCTGGGTTCGAATTTCGAGGTGCGGTTTCGTGGATGCTCACTGCCGAGGAGTCCCATACTAGGACGAAACGGCGATCCAGTGCTTTCAGGTTTTATATGATGGTGTAGCTTTAATCGACTCATGAATTCAATTATTATATTACCACTATATCCATAAAAACCCTTCTCTGACTATAATTGATTGCTTACATCTTGAGATGATGTGTTTAAAATTTAGAATAATTTACTTTGTAAATGTCAGTGTTTTTTTGGCAAAAGAATATGACATTGTTTGATACTCCTAATTAAGTTTGTAAAAGTTGTCGTCTATGCATTGTGGAAAAGAGAATTACTACGCTTTCCTATGTATTATATTGGTCAAGTATATAAACTTACATAGCTTTAACTAAACTAAGAAAAATTGGTATTCGTTGTTTACAGTGTTTATACAACTACTACAATTACAATGTCTTAAAATAATATTATTTTGTTCTGAAATTCGGATCGACCTCAATTTATTCAAACTTCATTTGATTGACAACAAATCCACTCAATATGTTTCGTTCATAAAGAAGTTTTAATCCTTATTCATTTACTACATACTTACGACTGTTGCCCCTAGTGGAAGAGCATAAGCTTCTCATCAGCATTCTCGATCCAACTCTGTCTTCAGCGATCTTTGCCAGTTGTTTCCAGTTGCTTTTCATGTTTTGGATGTCTGCTTTCAATTTCCGACGCAATGTGTTCTTTAGTCATTTTCATATCCTTTTCGCTTCAGGATTTCAGGTAAGCGCTTGCTCCGTGATGCAATTCGAGGATTTCCTTAATTTATATCCTAGTCACCTCCAAAATCTTCCTAATTTCTTCCTCAGCTGAAAGCTGGTTCTTTCCCTCCCACATGTAGCTCTTCCAGAGCTACTTCCAGTCCCAAGCTCAAGTAAAGGAGGAGAGTTGAGCATGAGGTCGGTAACCTCATCGCTTAGGAAACAACCTTGCGAAAAGAACGCTTACCAGAATAAACAAATTAAACCATTTAAATTCTGTTGTGGGAGTTGAAGTTTTAATTGTATGTTAAACTTATACCTGACATTAGATCTATTTAAAGCAAAAAACTAGTTCAAACAGAATGAACGAGTTTAAAAAAAAGTAGTTGAGTTTGAGTAGTACCTATTTTTCATGAAATTCTTTGAGTTGTCTGCACTATTAGTTTTGAATTTAAGACATTTGAAATGTTTGAATAAATCTATATCTTAAGGAAGTTTCAATTGATTTTATTAAAACAAACAAAAGTGAATTTAACAAACAGAACTGTTAGAAAGTATTTTTATTATTTCAAACGACTGAAATGATTTAAAAGTTAGGTTGTTGTATTATTGTTCAGGACTATGGGAAATAATTTTGTGATGATGTTATCTATCTGTTTCATATAATAATACTATATATTGAGATACGTTCTAATTAACAATCAAAATTAGGAAACCTTGAGTAGTGAACTGTTGGTTATGCTTTTACTTACTTTATATCTTTGTTTGGGTTCATGATATTCGTATTATATATGTCCATCACGATTATGATAACAAAAGATACATTTTCTCTAATTCAACTTTGTAGAACCCATGTAGTTTTATATAATTAGATTTCTTTACTCCGTTCATAAAGCTCAGACAACTATTTCAGTAAGAAGTATACAAGAACATGTATGAATACAGATGTCAGATAAGCAGGTATTTAAATTTAGGTGATTGATTTTACTGTCAGACTCATAAGCATCCATAATTGTATAAGGGCTCAGAGTTAAAATATTTAAGCTTCATGTAAACGACAGTATCGATTGGTTCAAACCTTATAATCATTATCAGCTTTCATCCACTATCATTAATAAGTAACTGTCTTACGTCCAAATTAACTGAATACTTAGATTTCGAATACCCAATTGAAGTTTGAGAAATTTATATAAACGTCTATTATTCATCATTACAGTTGGTATCAAATAATGGATAATAGAATATGTTCATTCTATTTGTAAAAAAAATCATTCTATATCTACAGAATAAAATTCAAAAATATCATAATTGACTATTGCAAAGGGTTGAAAACTCAGAGTTTTATAAGCAGAACAATTGTGTCAAGAAAAATCCTATTTGAATAATTTGGCATGATTTTTAATTGATGACTTGATCTAATTTTGGAATGGGTTTGTCTAATGACCTTTTACATTTATTCACACAAATAACTTTCTTCATGTGTAACAGCAAGCAGCGTTGAATCTTAATTTAAAAGAGTTTTGTCTGTAATATTTATGATCATTTCAAAAAGAAACCTAGTTTAGTTTTTTTATGATGAAACCGTGATAAATGATACATAATAGATTAGCTATAGACTATAAGTAAGAAATAAATGTATTAAAATAACGATAGTGATATATTACTATGTGTTTTAAAATTGATTCATTATAGAGTAAATAGTTTAGCTTAAGCAATAGATAAGTAAATGATCATTCCCAGTAAAATGTCTGACTAAATGACATAAAGATGATTTACTACAATGACTTTTTAAACTTATTAGGATAAATTCTGTACGAAGAAAAAGCTGAAATTAGTTTTTCCTGTAAGTATATTAGGGAGTAAACAAAATCCTGAAAAATTGTTGGAAACTCAAAGACAAAATTGCTTGATACTGTAAAATACGACTTGAATATCTTTTAATTTGTATCTAGTTTTATGATATTCACAAATATGACGGAAATATTAATGTTATATAACCACCATTTTTCTCTTATTTTAAATTAATGTTACATTGATTACATGGTTTATTCACATAATTATAATGTGAATGATTATAGTTTCAAGTAATATTAGGAATCTTGTAAAGTTAAATATATAGTTATGTAATAGAAAAACTGTTTTACTTATTTCATTGTTTAAATTAAACAGTCTGATATACTGACAAGACAAGCCGCTTTTCTCAAAATAAGAATAAGCGCTTCTTTCATTTTATTTACAAAACAATCGTTTTTCATTTTAAAAAAAGATATTTTACTATGCAAATATTAAACACGATTTTAAAGTTTGTTATAAACAAGCGCAACTCTGTTTTTTTGTTTGTTTTTGAATAACAAACAATTAATAAGTCACATTTCCTTTTTGTTTCATAAAAAAGGTTACATATTTAACATAAGAAAGTACTTTCTCTGATATACAATCTGTAGACAGAAATAATAATAAAGGGAAGTATTTAATTTAAACATTTTGACGGACAAATATTTGAATTGTTAGGAATATATATACTTTTATCAAAATTAATATGTGAATAAAATATCATATTTAATTGAAATGAATAATTGTTTATCTAGTTCAAATATTGTTTATTTAAACCCTATTAAATAATAAATATGCTTTAGATTTTAATTTAATAGTTTAGAAGCAGTACTTGATTGACTTAACCCAACAATTACACTGTGTATTTATAGATGATCAGTAAAGTCAAGTCCGTGATTGAGAATAAATATCCGTCTATGCTTGTTTATTTTGGATTTGGTATTCTACAATAACTATTTCCTAATACAAGAGAAATTATGAAAATAAAGAGTTAGAAATGTTCTGCGAATCAATTAAGTTAGAATAATTTTTTTAAATTTCGGATTCGTTAATGAATAGGTCTTGATTGTTTATTTATTACTATTTGAGTAGTTCTCAATGATTCATTCAAAAACCGTGACTGGTTTTTATTTCAAAACTTTATTTGGACAGATGATATGATACAAATCATTAATAATGAAATTGCTCAATGATTTGTTTTCGTATCATATTCTAGCAAATAAGTACTTTGTAAATGTTTTGGGAAATCTGATATTCAGAAGTAAAAATGTATTAAGCATTATGTTTTAAAAGGCGTTCCACACCAAATGTTTGAAATATCAAATAATACTCAACTATACATCGATACTTCAGTTTTATTCTCTCAGTTCTCAGCATGATATCATTTCAATGACTAAATACTCAAAATCAAATGTACAAATATTTGTAAAGAAAACAATATAGTTGGATATCAAACTTTATTAAACTAGTTTACGTCTATCGATGTAAGATTAATGCTATAACAGAGTCTAAGAAACTTTTTTAAACTTAGAACTTTACTGACATTCCTTTATTGACAACAAATATGTTTTATAATGAAATGGAAAAATTGGCATTAAAAGAAACATTTGTGAGTATTGTAGTAGTTTCGCTTCGTTAATCAATCACCTAGATAACCGTTATGATAGAAATCTCAACGGTGTTAAAACTCAGAAGGCAAGGAGAAGCAGCAACTACAATTTATTAGCGGATAGTGCAGATCACAAAGCTATAAGCATATAGAGCGAATTTGAAGCAGACAGGCGAATATATATATGCGAGCAAATACATAGGAAACAAGGCAAAGCAAAAGCTAATAATAGGATTTGAGTACATACATACTTAAGGAGGAGGATGTGAACCATTAAGTAATATTTAAGCGATCAACATTCTAGCTAAAGTCTGTCATGTGATCTAGTGATCATAACGGTATAAAGGAATATGCGAATTGTTATTGTTCAAATAACAATGCCTGTTAAGTAAGTTAATAAAATGTCTTAACCATAATCAAAATTAGCTATAGGATAGTTGCTATAGTCTGTACAATGGGTACAACAATGAAAAAAACTAGCGATAGAACTATTATTTACTACGCAAAAACAAATTGGATTTCTTCTAAATACCAATAAATTTATAGGACTATAAATGTTAAAATACATACTTACCAGATTATATTGACGGTTCAAATATTTGCAACCTAACTGTTCCTCAGGAATAGTGTGATTGTTTGTTTTATTATCATATTATACGGTGAGTTTAGATAGTGCTTACAGAACAACATGAAAGTTAAATCATTCATTTATTTAATGGCAATTACTTAAATTTTTATTGTAAATTATTTTAGATCACACAAACATCCATCTCAAGAATTTCCATTTCGAAACTACTATGGACGTTTTGATGAAAGATCAAGGTATGTTAATTTGGATGTAAAATGTTTCTATTTTTTATTTTAACCACCCAGTGACTTGTTATCGTAATGGATAATTTTAGACTCACTGTTGGATTATTGACTTCTGATATTGATTTCCTTCAAATTACGAAAAATAATTGAAATAAACAAAATGGCAACTTAGAATTAAAATAGGAGTGTCAAGTATTGATTTAATTTGATTTTGTGTTATTTATTTGTGGCTCTATTTTGGTGGCCCCATATCTGACTCCAATTAGATCGTATGGATGATTATTATTGATAATATAAATCTAGACTATCCTTGTATATATTTATCGACTCAGCTCGTGTTAGTGAATAACGGAATAAAAAATAGAAGTCAAATACGAGAAAAGGATTTCGAATACGTATATTTTATACAATCATTGATCCTGTCAGACGACCAAAACAACGAAGTGAAAGGAAATGATGCACAATGTAGAAGACATGTGAGCCAACTTCGATTAACCAAGCACTAATTAATATATATAGTCACACAAAAGATAAGATATACACACATACGCTTACATAATAACAGTCAAGATTGATAGGTGAATAACGAACCATGTGAAAATATGACTCAAGAAGAATGGATAAAATGGCCTATCCAGAAGCTAGAACAAGTTATATGGGTTTAACATAGTAACCGACACTACACTATTCATCATTTAGTTTATTTATCTAATAGTAGTACAGTCATTGTCATGTCTTTCTTAATTCTTTATAGAAATATGCTAAATACTAAATATATACAGATCTCAGAATGTGTTAAAATTTCCTAAAACAGTCTCTGTTCAATATTTAATTTTATTGTCTTCTGTATACCGTTTTAAATATTTATTTCTAAAAATATCTTTTGATTGAATGTTGGTAAAAGGATGTTTAATTTTAGAATGATTATTTTACATAGATTTACGATACATGGAATAGCATTTGCCAAGTATGAATCGTATGTTCACGACTAAAATCCAATACAAAATAAGAATATATGACATATTCAATTATTTGATTTATTATTTAAATAATATGCCCATTATGAGTAAACTTTTAATGAAATAAGTCAATTGGTCTAATCAGTTAAGGTGTAATGAGGAAACTGTAAAGTCGTCAATTCATGAAGTATGAAACTTTTGTCGGAAAAATTTGATAAATTTATTACCAGTTTATGGATAAAATCACTTCTTTTCAATTCTATTGTCAAAACTTAAATTGTAAAGCAAACATTTTTATTGAAATATGTAAAATATACTTAAAGGACCAAAAGAGTAATTTAAATATCAGTGATCCATTCCCATATTAAATCTTTGTTTCTTTATTCATTAGTTACCATAGATTATTTGTCAACTTATTGAAACGGCTTGAAAAGCTTTGGTTGAGGTTTGCTGAATGTTGTTCTGTGATGAAAGAAGCAATATGTAATAAGTTTCTAATGATTTGTTTGAAATTTAGCATCTATTAAAAATAAAAATGTAAGACGATAAACGAATACATAAGCAACTAGCCTATTTATTTCCTATTTTAAAACCTATGATGATTTTGTTAGTAGATGGCTTGGAAAATCAGTACGTAAATTTTACCCACCAAATTAACTGAAAGCAGCTGTAAAGTTAGAAGCAGAGCTGACATTATTTTTGTCCTTCAGACTCTTAAACACTCTACGCATCACCATCGATAGTCTCCCATATTGTTGTTTAGCTATACGTTTCGTCAAAACAAGAAAAGTTTCAACACTAAAGAACACTTAAAGAGTATTCTGAACATTATTTCATTAAAAACATCAGCGTCATTTTACCTGATATTTCATCATCCTATGATAACATTACTAGTTCTTTCACAAACTAGTGTGATCTGAATCTTCATCAAAACGATTGTACACTCAGGGTACATAATCATAGATCTAGTGCAAGTTAGTAATGTGCTTAGTTTCTACCTTACACTTATCGAACAATTCATCAAACAAAGCATAAACATTATTCACATCACCGTTATTCACCGCACTACCAAATAAGGAGTCAGTTTTCTTCACCAATACAAGGGTTAGCGAAGACGTGGGCCAAATTTTTAATAACAAAAAATTACTATAGGCAAAGTTGAATCAGGAGTTGTCAGATGGGTCGAATCAGGTAACGAACCAAAATAAAATCAGATCCCAAATTTCTGCTGTAGGTAGACAAGTTAATTAATCTTTACAGAGAACTCAAACTAGAACGAACGATTGATGAAACAGAATACTTGTTTATTCAGCAAAAATTTTAAACTTGCACAACTCTTACAATAAAATCTACTCATTGACAAAGTTAAATATAATCATTCGTGACAATGTCATCGGTACTACAGTAAGGTAAATTAAAATAATTACTTTAATTGACAGTTCTCTTCAACTCAACACCAACAATGTGCTGAAAGAATTTTAGATATGATACTTGGTAACACCAGAGTCACACATAAAAATGGAGTAATCGGCACCAAAGATTAATATAACAACGCACCTGACTAATAAAATAATGTTAGCACTAAATCTGTCTTAACAGCAGCTATTTAGTGACTGTAAATGTTAAATATCCTATATAATATTGCATTAAGTATTATTTTTATAAGTAGACAATATTTATTGGCTTTTCTGTAGTGGTCTATTACATAAATGATTCTTAAAAACTATTTAACTACATTAATCTTATTGCATTTTAAACTAAACATTCAGTTATTAAAATTATTTAACTATGAAAAAAACAAAATTCGTCTATACAAAATGAAATCAAGATTTGACAATATTTAATTAAATAGGAAATTTATTTTGTTTATTTTTATTTCACTAAATTAATTTTCTTTTCTTACTACAATGAAATTGTTTTTTTTTGTTTTTTTTTCATCCACATTAAATAACTTTTATTTATGAGAACTAATATGTGCGGAATACTCCGGATTGTTTTTCTAATTATTTTATTTATTTAAATTAAAGACAAAAAAACACTACGAAAATAATAAAGAAAGGGGTTGTTTAACTGTTAAGAGAAAAGTAGTTCATTTATTATTTACGTTTATTTTATTTCATCTTAACTGTAAATGCCATTGGGTAGATTGAATGAAATATTTTTTTATAAATTTAATTAAGCGTATTTAAAGATTATTCATATAGTACGTAATATATTAGAATATTTTTAATTGAAATATATAGTCAAATAAGAACAGCTTAAACAGAAGGAATGATATTTGGCTTAATAACTACTTGGCAAATATTTGTTAGCAAATAATTGAGTCCGTTCTTTATTCAACCTGTTTCTTTTCACATGTATCTTTATTTTGACTGAAATTAATGTAGGTTATTTTTAGCAATACAATTATGTATTTCATGTTTCGCCATGTTACTCGCACTTCAATGATTCAACCTTCAACTTGCACTTTCCTTTTTAATTTTTCCTTTATATGAAAACACATTAACATCGAATATCATTCATTAATAACTCAATCTTACACATACATACACACACACAATTCACCCATTCATTTGTCTTCACATCGTGAACTATTCACATGATTCGTATTTAACTGACTCATGTTATCCTGTTTACTAAACTTAGCATCTAAATATGATTGAAATAACACAGTATAGATTTGGACTGATTTGATTGTTTAATCGCTATATATTTCTCTGGTGATTTTGATTTTGATTATTACCCTGAAGAAGTCCAGACAAGTTGGCTGGACGAAACGTTGGAATTATTTAAAGTTCAAATATAATTTTCACATACAATGACTACTCTGTACTCAGCGCCCAAATTTTGTTATACTATTCGTTGTAATCTTGACGAATATTCGTATAGATCTTAGTTAAATAAAATATGGTAATATCAAAAATATAATAATAAATTCACGTTAATAAATTAATTGTCTAAGAAACTATTGTATAATTTAGGACTGACTAGTCAAGTGTTTGTCAAATATTTAGTTAAGATTTCTATTTAGGGTTATCTTGTTGTAAATAATGATAACTTACACAAAGGTTCTTTTTAAAGACATTTTATGGCGGACGTTTGAAATAGTCTATGATATGATAATTGAATTCATGAGTCAATTGAAACTAGATTACCATGGAAAACCTGGAAGCACTGGATAGCCGTTTCATCCTCATAAGTGCTAATCCATAATCCCTCCCCGCGAGACTCGAACCCAGGACTTATCAGTCTCGCGCTCGAAAGCCTAACCTCTAGACCACTAAGCCGGCCGCCAACCAACGGAGTTGATGTCTAAGTTTGACAAATCCACTATTATTGAACATATATATCTTCTTGGAAATCAAGTGAATAATATTCGATTATAAATATATTCATCTTACTTGAAAACTAGGTCTATGATTAAACCTTTAAAAAGAAAATTTCTAGAGACTAAGATGAAGCGAATTAATGATAATGTTCTACCGATTTATGTAGATCTTTATATCACAATTTACTGATAGATATAAGTTATTATTTATGCTTCAACTTGACAGATTTGCAAAACTATAGTCACAGAAACCATTTTTATTTTTATTTGTTACATTTATTTGATTATCCTAAACATACGATGAGCATAAATTTTTTATTTTTGTGTTAGTTCTGTGTAAGTTTTGAGCATCCACGTAAATATTTATATGTTTTTATATTATAGACTGTTCTATTATGACAATTTAATTTATTTGTTAATTTATTGGGAATCTAAAAATCATAGGCAGTTTTCCTGTATAGATGTATAATTTATTGAATTGAATTAATCATGATGTCGTATCCAGGAGCAGTAAAATTTTATGTGACAAAGTTTTACTTTTAATTAAGAAGACATAAATTGAACTCATTTAAATTTACTATTTAATCGTCCGCTTTATTGGATTAATCAGAAACTTGATTAAGATAAACATAATTGACAAGATAATTGTTGTCATTTCCGGTGAAATAAGATTCGTGTACAAAGTCTTTTCCTGAATCTTGCTTAGGGTTTCGATAGAGATTATGCTTCGTGTGGCTCAGAACCTCCTGACACGTTAAATTTAGAGCTTCTTTGATATCTTTTCAATCATTCTCCATAGTAGTTCCCTTTTCTTTGAGTTAGTCTTATAAGTGTTGAAACCTCTTGATGAGAGCTATCTTGAATTCGTTGAATTTCTCAAAATCTCAAAATAAAGCTGTACTGAACTTTTGTAATGCTGTTATTCCAGTTCTCTAGTGTCTTTTTAGCTTCAGTTTCATCATGGCAACCACAGGGTGGTGATGTGAAGCTACGTCAGCTCCAAAAACAAATAATATTTATTGATATATACAAATTTTGATTGACTCCTAGGTCATTTGCTTACTGATCAGTTACTGTGATATACACCCTTGGAATTAAATTTACTGATAATTGATCAGTTGAAGTTAGGTTAATACAACTTTCAAACTACCGGTAACCTAAAACTATAAACAAAACACTTTTCACTTGAAGGTTATGACTAATTAGTATATGTGCATATGTACTCTATCATATTTTTGCAAATTAAATTCTGGTTATCCTTTTGTTCTGATATTGTAACACGTAGTGTAGATTTCTGATTTAAATTTCTTCTTTCAGTTACATGCCATTCCAAAAGAAATTTCATGTAGCTAATATGTGGGACGATTTTGACGAATAAGGTGAGTATTAACACCATAATTATTATTAAGTATTTACGTCTGTTACTACACGTGGAGAAGCATAAGCCGCTCACCATCACTCTCCATCCAACCCTAACCTGAGCAATCCTTTCCAGGTCTTTCCAGTTCTTATTCATCATTTTCACATCTGCTTCGATTTCCCGACGTAATGTGTTCTTTGGACTTTCACTTTCCCTCTTCCCTTCAGCATTCCAAGTTAGGGCTTGCCTTGTGATGCACTTTGGTGATTTCGTAATGTATGTCCTATCTATATCCATAGTCTTTTCCTAATTTTCTCTTTAGCTGGAAGGTGGTTTGTTCTCTAACACAGTAGGCTGTTGCTGATGGTATCCGGCCAATGGATGTTGAATATCTTGCATAGACAACTATTTATAAATACTCGTACCTGCTTGATGATGGTTGTAGTAGTTGTCCACGTTTCAGATCCATTTATACATCTATTTTATTTTAACACATAGATATCGGTACAAGAAGGCACCAAATACACATGCGCCACACAGATCTCATTTGATATGTGTGAGGGCTGTGATACTGCTCGGGTGCCCAAACCGAAGCAGGTGGTTTTCTTAGGGGGCCACACCCCGAGCCTTTGACCTGAACGTCTGATACACAAGGCAGTGGAGCATCGTAAGGAGATGCAGTCCCATGGTAGCCGGTGACCAAAAATTGGTTCATACGCCATTTGTTCCCTCAGGATACTGGAGCCCATGTGCACCATTGATTTGGGATCCGGTTATAGCGCCGGACACTCGCTTTTCGTCTTCTCATTTTCGTAAACAACACCCCCGCCACGAGAAGGCAGTGAGTAGGACTTCCCTGGCAGGGGCTGTATACGCGTGGCCATGTGAGAGCATTTTGAGAGGAGGAGCTGACTCCCCCCACTCTCGGCCATACCAAGGCATTTGGGGGCACGTTTCAGATCCATACAGTAGAACTAACTGTCTTCACATTCATATTGAAGATTGTGACTTTGATATTGGTTGACAGTTGTTTTGAGTTCCATATATTGTTCAACTGTAGGAATGTGGTCCTTACTTTTCCAATCCTCACCTTTACGTCTACATATGATCCTTCTTGTTTATCGATGATGCCTCCCTGGTATGTAAGGGATTCCATCTCTTCCAGAGTTTCACCATCAAGTGTGACTGATTTGGTGTTCTCCGTATTGCATTTGATGATCCTGCTATTTCCTTTGTGTATGTTGAAGCCTAATGATGCAGACAGAGGCTGCTGCTACACTAGTTGTCTTCATCTGAATTCGTTCTATGTATGAGATAGGACAGTTAGGTCATCTGCGAAGTTCAAATCGTCTATGAAGTTGACGTACAGTGACGAGTTCCACTCAACTGATCGTTCGACGATGATCCGTAATGTCGCAGTTTGGTCTGTGCACGACTGATCCTTACGGAATCCAGCCTGTTGATCTCGAAGTTGGGCGTCTACTGCATCTTTCATCCGGTTCAACAAAATTCTTTTAAAGACTTTCCCTGGTACTGATAGTAGTGTGATACCCAATTATTATTAATTACAGTCTTGTAATTATGATAAAATAGATTTAAAAATAAAGTTGTATATCTTGTCTATATCATTTCTTTTTTATCCGAATATTAGCTGTAGTTTCTTAGTTCTATTGAATTCTCTTATTAAAACAGGAGTAACTTTGATATTGTCCAACTAAGAATGTGAAACAGGAATGCTGATTTTATGAAAGATCCATAATTTTCATAACAGAACAATACACTTTTTGATTTTTGATTAAGGAGAAAAGTGGATCAACAAAGTATAATGATGATACTGAATAGTTGATAATTATAGTGAAATATAGTGAAATAACGCGCGATGGAGAAGTCGTGTGAGCCAAGTGGATTTAATCAAGCGTTAATGAATATTTAATGCCAGGTAAAAATATAGGTTACAGATATGTGATGAATAGGATAAAAAGTGTACACATATACGCTCATATAAAAAGTCATGATTGATGAGTGAATAATTAACAAGGTCAAAACGTGACTCAAGATGAATAGAATAAATTATATGAGTTTAACATAGTAACCGACACTACAGGCATAAATCTTGTAGAAAAAAAGCAGTATTAGTTTTCTAAACAGTTGAGAGTACAGCAAAATAATTTAAGGAAATATTCTAGTTAAAATTCAGCATCTATTGATTTGATGACATTACATAACAACGAAAAGTATGTTTCTCTAAACGTGAACACACTTCTTATACATAATAATAATCACTGGACTTTTAATGTTTAACAAACTTCCTTAGATTGTTTTACGTGTGATTGAACAATTGTAAACTATCACCGTCAAATCAAATCTCGTTCATTATGCATACCCAGCAAAAAAACAAAATAGGAAATAATTCAACAATATGTCTTTTCTTCTTTAATAATATTGTATAAAATCTATAATTTGTTTATCATGAGTTTATATTAGTCCTGAAGATACTGTTAAAACCTTTTATTTCCTATCGAATTTAATTAAGTCTTGTAGTATTTCTGAAAATTGACACCTAACTACTTATCCTTACATGGAATAGTCACAGTGATATATATATATATATATTCAAAATGAATAATCCAAAAAATGGTCAGGTTAAGGGCAAAGTACATCGCTTAAAGCATGAAAACTTAGGATTATCAAAGAAAATAGAATATAATTGTTAATGTTTATATAACTCAGATAGAATGTTAACTTGAATCTGTATATATGTTAAGTGAAATTTAAGATCCATGATCAGAATAAATATGGGTCAGATAGGGTGAATGAAATAATAGTGCAATTACCATTCGGTCAAATGTTTAGTGGAAAACTATATTGTGTGAAAAATTAGAAAGACGTAATAAGGAGGGATGAATGAAAAGTGAATGAATCATGTATTGGGGAGATTATTAATCAATAGTAATAATAAGATGGGGATCTTTAAATGAATATATATATCAGAAGGGTTTTCATCAATATTATAGTAATTTTAATAGTTGAGATCATGAGTCAATTAAAGCTAGACCATCATGGAAAACCTGGAGGAACTGAACGGCCGTTCTGTCTTATTGTGGGACCTCTCAGTACTGCTCATCCACGAAACTGCGAGACTGATACGTCTTGGGTTCGAATCTCGCGAGGTGGGATCGCGGATGAACACTACTACTCAGGAGTCCACAATAGGACGAAACGGCCGTCCAGTGCTTCCAGGTTCTCCATGGTGATCTAGCTTCAATTGACTCGTGATCTCAATTATTGAAAGTTAAACTAAAAATAAATCTATATAATGTAATAATAATTTGTATTGAATTATCTTGATGGGATAGATTTTTGTCGATTTCATTTTTCATTTATTTGAGTTTATCCTTATTTATGTAATTTATTCTTTTATTATATATATAGAATGAATGAAAATGAAATATGGAATTATAAAATTTTGAGTTATGGACATTTGATGAAAATTCTATTTATCTTTTAATGAACTAAAACATTAAATATTCTAAATATATATCTACCCGCTTGTATTGTTTATTTAGTTTCTTTTCAATTTAAGAAAGTATCAGTTTATTTTCTATTATTCTATAATACAATAGATACCATAAGAATAAAACAATAGAATAAGTTAATATTAAAAAGAAAGAAGACATCATGTATACATTGATGTTTTGAAAGTATTTACTACTGTTTATCTCTTGGGAAGCATATCATAGAACTACGGTGTATTTCAAGCAAAGATGGATAGTGGTTAGCAGTGGAATCTAGGATGTGCGTTTCGTCCTATTTGGGAATAGTCAGGTGGATGCACCTGCATCTTAGAGTTAATGATCACTCCAGGACACGAACCCAGTACCGTTCGCTTCAAACGCCAGTGCATTATCCCCTAAGCTACTGAGTCCTGATAGCCACCTGCTTGTGCAATGGGGTGAAGTTTGAATTCACTTGGTGTTGTTTTACTTGTATCTTCCAATTGTTATTTAGGACTACAATTGATCACTCATGTTGGCATATGTGCATCCTGTGCGGATTGCCTCGGTTCATTTAGTTATTTGTATTGCTCTAATAATAGACCTAATCCTAAAATTGTAGATTTATCATATTGTAACTACCTAATAATTTATAAGATCTTGCGTGGAAGTCACATCATTGTCTATACTGACTCATTGTATCGTAACAATTACCAATATACGATGGAGAACACATTCTGGCTGGAGATAGAACAATATATTTAATGTGAGTAAAAACAAGATACACAGAATGATTATTCGTGCAAAGTTGAGCCATGCCACTTGATTGAATTTAATTTCGAATGAATGTTATCACGTCCATCATTAGTGACCTATTAGTGTTACATGATGAAAATCTATTTTCCCAGTTATCTCATGTTCAGCTTTGAGGATTGTAGTTAGAATCTAATGCCACTACAATATACATATATTTTTCGATGAAACAATTATTTTTTCTCTAAAACAAGCCAGATATATTAGGAATCGTTTATATCTACCTGTCATAGCTCAAAGAAAGTTGTCTATAAAGCTTTTGCAAATACAATCTATTATCTTCTGATCTAACTAATGTTCTTACGAAATTACATGTCTTTTAACACATGTCGAAACAATGAATTAAAATTAATGTGAAATCATACATAAAATTGTACATTATTCCTCACCTAGTTGAGTTAATTATATCAATTTAAAGAGATGTCTAATTTTACTCGTTTACAGTACACTCCAATGAAAAAAATGTAAAAATAAAACATTTTTTTAAGAAATGATCTGATAGACTAAGCTGCATTATTTGTCTGTTGTGGCTAAATGTAGTTTTAGCCAGACAAGATCATGCTACTTAGCTAAATGAGATAATAAGAATTTGAGGTAAGAGGATACACAAAGATAGTGTCATTACATGACACACATCATACGTAAAAATTGCATTAATACGCAAGGGAATTAAAGCTTGAAAGTAAAATCTTTGTGATTTGATCTGGGACAAACTGTTACGAATGAGACGGGAATAAAGATACCCTGACCCGTACTGAAATTCGTTAGTGGGATTCTTGTTGATATATTTCAGTATTGTGAAAATTATTCTTTATTAACACCACATTCGACACGTTTGTCCCTAATGATAACTAAATTCAACTAATGCGAACTGAATACATCATTTATCGGA